TCTTTCTTGCTAAAGATCTCCTGTCCTCTACTATGTTTCCTTTGTCTTGCCTTCTCTTTTGATCCTCAGCTTTTTTCTGATCCTGGAGAACACTGGAGTTTTTCAATATAAGCTTACAAAGATGAGTTTGTTCTTCATATTTTTAGCTTTTTTCATTATCTTTTTTGTTTGTTTTGAGACAGTCTTGCTGTGTTTCCCAGGCTGGCTTTGGATTCACAATCTTCTTGACTCTACCACCTGAGTTTCATTATGTTTTTTGATTTATGGGTTATTAGTAAGATGTAGTGCTTGCTGTGGGATCAGCCTTTAGGTGACAGAGAATATGGCCAAAAAGAGCTTAGTTCCTACTTAGCACAGGCAGCCCCATATTGCACTCTGTTATGTGCGGGGAATGGGCAGAAGGTTGGTCTAATTATATAGGCGTACTGATTTTCACAGGCGTTGAGGTTTCAGACCAGTTTATTATGATGCTGGATGGATCTTACTGACCTAATTAGTACTGTGACTATAATTGAACACAGAGAGTTCATCTCTTGTTTAGTGCAAAGGCAGTAAGTATAACCAGAAGATAAAGAATGGAGAAAGGCCTATTACGTACAGCAATAAGGAGTGCACTGGAGTTACTCAAAAAGCAGTGCTGCTTTAAACAAAGAAAGCATAAGGATCTCACTCTTACTCACAGAGCCTATACGTATTCAGATAGCAAGCCCTTAGGGCAGGCACTTTCGGCGGCATGCTCGGTTTGAGACATATATGTTACTGAGCATGCACAGGTTAATGTTATAGTTCAAGAAGGAAAGAAGGGGACACATTCCTGGGCATGCTTAGCTCAGGAACATGGAGCACATGTTCAGAAGTTAAAGTGTAAGCTGGGCACTGGTGGCTTACACCTGTAATCTTATCTACTTAGGAGGATCGTGGTTTGAAGCCAGCTCCAGGCAAATACTTCACAAGACCCTATCTCAAAAAAAAAAAAGACTATCCCAAAAAAGGGCTGCCTGCCTAGCAAGCGTGAGTCCCTGAATTCAAACCCCAGTGTGCCACCCCCCAAAAAAAACAAGGTTGAAGTGGTGGACAGGAACACTTCTGGACATGCTTAGTTTATGTCATAAAGACAGCAGACTGGATTATCTTTAGGCACACTTAGCCTGTATCATAAAGGTGGTAGACACACTTAGCTTCTTTTTCCTAAAAAAGATTTTAGCTGAAGTTGAGGCAGGCCAGTAACAGGGAAAGAAAAATGCCACCGTGGAACTCAACCCACCTCAACAAAAGGTCACTCCATGCTGATTCCTTCTTCTCCTTGCCCAATACCATCCTCAGAATGCCCTCTGATAGTCATTGCAATTGCAAATTCCCCAAAAGGACTGGGGAGTTCTTGGCCTGTTCAGACTGGAAAATGGTGCATGCCCATGTTCTCAATCTGATCTCTCAGGTAAAGTCCTCTGCTTAAGACCTATGAACATTAGTCACATCTCATACATAGAACTAAAACCTGGGTGTCAGCGTAATGTGTGCACAAATTCCCCATGTTATATAACAAGATCTTATTAATCAAACCTGTCAATCACCCTAGCCTCTCCTGCAAAGACTGCCCATATTTTTCCTACCATTTCCCCTTACAACTTATAAATTGCCCTTAGAACAAAGATCGGGGCTTGTGTGTCATCTGGCCATAGCCCTCTGCTCTGTCTTGCAGTGTTTTCTCCTGTCTACACTTTTGTTTTCTTTCAATAAAACTTTACTGCTGCTTTGCATTCTGTATCTCTGTCTAATTCTTTGTTCAGGAAATGCAAGAAACTTAAGATCTTCTGAGACTACCCACCAGTAGCAAAACCAAAGGAAAGGACACTTTGAAGGTGTGTTAATACAGGATTTGCCCCTAAGGGTGCCTGCCTCACTTAGCTGCTAACATAATTACTTCATTCCATCCACAGAATATTAGAAATGCATCTCTTTTTCCTCTTTATTTTATTATCTGTTGGCTGAATGAGATATTTAAATGTAATGTGAGCTCAAGTTGAGTATTTCTGAACTGGAGAGCTTACCGTTTTGTAGCATGGATAGGTCTCCCCCCAAGTCCTTTGTGAGATTCTGAGTTTACAGGAGAAAATGCAGATTTCCTTCTGAATAATTTTCTTTCAGATTGAACTTCTTCTTGTTAAAGTTGACTTGTATTAAAGAGCTGGTGGAGAGATCTCATTTAAACATTCGTGGTTGAAGGTGTTTTAACTCACTTATTGAACAAATATTTACTAAGTGCCAACCATGTGTAGGGCTCTGTTCTGGACATTTGACAATCCTGTCTGTGAACAAAATACATAAAAAATTGTTTTTCTCATTGGGAAAGGCAGACAGTAAACACAGGAAAGAAATAAATCATACAGACTTTTAAAAGGCTGTATGTGCTTCGCAAAACAGAATAGACTAGGAGAAGTGCTAGTGGCCAGGGATGGTGCTTGTGATTCGGTCAGGGTCATCCCCATTGATGAATAATGTGAAGGACATGGTAACTGGCCTTGTGGTCTTCTGAGGTAAAGCACTGGACAAAGAGGGAACCGCCAGTGCTTTGCTCTAGGCTGGAGTGGCAGGGTAGTAAGGAAATGAGATCTTGTTCCCAGCTCTCAGGAACATGGGGCCTGCCACTTCCTGACTCTCATCCTAGAAGATGGAATCCCTTGGTCCCAGAGGCAGTCTGCCTCCTGAAGCCCCTTTTCATTTGCTGTTTTACTTGTAAAGAACTAGAAGACTCTTTTAGTCAATAGAATAGCATACATACTTTAAGTCATTAATTGTTTTTGGGTGAAACTTGGCTAACACTAGAGGAATAAAACAAATGTGTCTGCTGCTCCTACGTGGTCTCCTCCCCACTCAGTTTGGAGTCTAACATTTCATGCAAATTGTGGACTTGAAAACTATAGTTTTGAATCATTCGGTTTTTTTAAATATCTAATCCCTATCAAAAAATTAAGGATTTTGAATATCAGAACTACCAGTCTTGTAATAATGATTCCCAGTCAGATTTTGATGTAAGGTCATGCCAGATACTAGGTACCCACTTTCTGCAAAGACCCTTCCTTGTGTAATTTCAAAATTTGTAAATGTTCATGATGTTCATTTTAGCAAAATAATAAAGTAGACCTTTTCCACCTGTTTTGTGAGGATTGTCTAAGTCATTGGGGATAGGGTAGGGATGCTTTTGTTGCCAACAGGACCACTCTTCTCCTCATCTGGTGTCCCTTCCACACATTCTACCTCCTAAACCTGGGGCCACATCCACCCACTTCAGGCCTGCTCCCCACTTGCCTGCAGGGAGGCCCAGGCATATTATTCAGCTTTTTCAAGCCTCACTTACCCTATAACATGGATTGGGGTCACATGCTCATTACCACTTGTTGGCTGCCGTTATCATTGCCCCGCCACCCTACTACAAGCAAAACCAAGGGCCTGGAACAGTGAGAAAGAGCCAGACTCTTGGCAAGTGGAAGGGACTGGCGCTGGGATAGCACAGAGGAAAATCAGATACACAGTTTGAAGGCTGTAAATATGGGGCTCTGTATATCTAGTCAATTACAGTTTACGTTTTGATATATACTGTGATGTAATGAACTATGATTTATTATACCTAAAAGCTTTAGGGAATTATCTGGAAACCTTCTCCGTGCCAAGCAATGTGCTTACTTTAACAGGTTATTTTCGTATGTGAGGAGATAGGTAGTGATGTTTTCCTTTTATAGGGAACAGGAGTGACAAGCATCTCATAAGGAAACTTGACTTTTCCTCTTAAAATAATTGTGGAAACACATTCTGAAATAACCAAAAATGCTTTTTCCCCCTATTTTTTCCCAATGGAAAGAAGAAGTAATGCATTATTTATGCCACATTTTCTTTAATTGTTCAGAGTAATTTTATTTTTTTCTGCATTAACACTCCTTTACATTATTGAATTCAAAAAAGCAGGTGGTGTTATCCTTATTTTGCAGATGGCTAATATGAGATGTTGGGAAGCTAAAAATAAATGGTTTAGAGATGTTTCATTTATATTCTCATATAACACAAGCTAGGTTCATATAGTACATTTAAACCCAGGCTAAGGGCAAGTGGGCAAAAAGCAAAATGTATTAGGGCTGCATTGCTATCAGTAAGGATGGCACACAACAGATTTATCAATAACATGTGAATATATGTTTTGTCAATAAAGATTTTCTTAAAGTTGCAAATGTTGGATTGATGCAATTTAAAATACATTACATTCAGGATTTGCCTATGGCTCAAGTGGTAAAGTGCCTGCTTAACAAGTGTGAAGCCCTGAGGTCAAGCCCCAGTACCACCAAGTAAAATGATAAAATGCCATTATCCATTGAAATTTGTAAATTAAATTGTTTGATGAGTATATATCAAACATCAGAAGGTACCAAAGCTTGTGTTAGCTTCTAAAGATGGAATTCTGCCTCTTGAAGCCCAAGAGGGGAGGCACAGATCAGTGTAGATTGGCCCTAGAGGTAAAGAAATGTTCTGCTAGAAGGGTCCAGCTTACCCAGGGAGGAAGAGAAGGCTTCTCTGAGGAGCTGGAGAGTTCCATGGAGCCTGACACCCACAGGAAGAGGAGAAAGACAGTGAAGAGCCACCAGGGCAGAGATGGGTTCAGAAGCCCACATGAAGCATGATGGTGTTCTGGAGTGATCTGCAGTAGAGATGAAAAGAAGAGAGTGTAAGTGATAGATCGAATATCCATCAGGGAGAGGAGCTGTCACTGTAGCTTAGAAGCTGAGTTAATGTGACTGAAAATTTACCATGAGAACTGAAAGGAAAACAGAGTGAGCCGGTCTGTAAGAATATATCCATTTTAATTGGCTTTCAAATCATAGATTCTGTATTATCTCCTTCAATGATACTATTTCAGCATATGCTTTATCTAAAGATACCTGTTAGGAGTTTTCATTTGAGAAGGTAACTTAATGAAGTTTTCCTGCCTGTTTTCTTTCTGCTTTATCTGGTAGAATCTTAAGAAGATCCAAGAAATGGAAAAGAGTGATGAATGTGGCACAGACCTGGAGGAGCTGAAACACGCTGACTGGGTAAGGCAGTTGGGTGCTTTCTGACCCAGCTGAAAATAGTGTTGCTTTTTAAAATGCTGTTTATTAAGGACTGTAGTATGAATTGATACTAAATAAAGTTGGGTACTTAGTCTAACGTGTGAGTCAATATTTCTGTTTTCAAAAGCTTTCTTATTTTATTAGAACCACCCCCAATGTATCTATGACTTTTGGTGTTTTAAAATATTAACATTTTTTAGCTGGGCACCAGTGGCTCATGTATGTAATCCTAGCTACTTGGGAGGCTGAGATTGGGAGGATTACAGTTCAAAGCCAGCTGGTGCAAATAGTTCAAGAGACCCTATCACCAAAAATAACCAGAACAAAAAGGACTAGAGTTGTGGCTCAAGCAGTAGAGCACCTGCTTTGCAAGCATGAAGCCCTGAGTTCAAACCTCAGTCCCACCAAAATACACATACATACATACATATATATGTACACATGTATGTATGTGTGTACACATATATGTACACATATGTATGTAAGTGCACACATATGTATATATTTTTAACTGACATATTAATACCTTAGGCCAGATGCAGTGACTCACACCTGTACTCCAGCTACTTAGGAGATCCAGGAGGATCATGGTTCAAAGCCAGCCAAGACAAAAAAGCTAGCAAGATCCTATCTCAATAAATAAGCCAGGCATGGGAGTTCACATTTGTAATCCCAACTCTGGTGGTCGGAGGCCAGCCCAGCCAAAAATTCGAGATCCTATCTGAAAATATAACTAAAGCAGCAAGGACTTGGGTTGTGGCTCAAGTGGTAGAGCATTTTCCTGTAGCAAGCACAAGGCGCTGAGTTCAAACCCCAGTACTGCCCCTCAAAAATACACAAAATAAAATAAATACCTATATCCAGATAAATAGATAGATGGATAGGTATTTTTTATTATACCTTAGCATGCCCTCCGTGTCAAAGCTCTCCTTTCAGGACTACATGTAAACTAGTGTGATCCATTGATTTATCTAGGGTCATGGGGGTGCAGAATGGGTAATATGGAGTGTCTACCTTCATAAGACTCAGTGTAGAACAGAAAGCAGATTTCTAGACTAGGTGGTTATGGTGTTTTAATGAGATACATTTTGAGTATCTGCCTTTCTTCGTGCATGGTACTAAATCCTAGGGCTATCAAGGGTCCCTGCCCTTGTGCATGACAGCCTTAGGGACAGGACAGTGAGTGTCAAAAGCACAAGATGACATATGTCCACACATCCAGGAAGGTGCATCTTAAATTCTGACTATCTAGGTTAAGGATATGGATCAATAATGACATTATTAAATGAGGGATACAAGAATAGATGCAGATTTGGGGAATACGAACAGGTCACTTTTGACTCTTCCAGGTTTTACTTGTCTAAAAGCAAAAAAAAAAAAAGTTGCTTATATTATCTTAAAAGCAAGTTTTATTTTGTGATTTTAGAACACCATTGATTATGAACTTCCCTGTGAATAGGATAGTAGTGTTCCCCAAGGTTTGTTTTTTTCTTGGCTATTGCAGTATTTTTATCATCTTCCTAGTTACTGAACCCAGACAGGTAAGTCTAGGTATTCAATGAGCAAGCACAGAGCTTGCACTCTGGGATTGAAATCCCCTTTCATTAAGGCAGCAGCATTTGACGGTTTGTGGATAACTGATAAGACATGCCAGCTCCCGAGGGGGCTGTGCTTTCCCAGACCATCACCGTCTTCCTCCCTCAGCTGTTCCAGTGAATGGAGCCAGGCCCTGGCATACAATTCCAGCACTCAGGAGACTCAGGTAGGAGGAATGTGAGCTCAAGATCAGCCTGGGCTATATAGCAAGACCTGATCTCAAAAAAGATACAATAAAAATAATAGCAGAATCTCCCTTAGCAGGATAAAGGATAAATGATTTTTTTAAATCTCTGGAAATGCATATGACAGCAGTATGTTATTTTATGTAACTGAGACATGAATTTCTGAAAAACAGCATGTAAGGGTTTTACCAGAAATACACAGAATACTGGCTACATTAAAAATTCTGTTTGGATCCTTTTATAAATTGTAGCAAAAGTGGTCTAGAGGTAGAGGATATAGCTTAGTAATAGAGTGCAAACTTAGCATGCATAAAGCAGTGGCTTTAATCCTCAGTACACACACACACACACATACACACACAATGACGGTGAAAGCTTTTAATGTGAGTAATTATCTACTGATTTATGTTGTGGGGAGTTCAAAGTTTTAAAGCCTGGGTAGGTCAAGAGAAAGACTAGGGTTTTAAAAAGATGATGTTGTATTTGAACTGGATCTTAAAGGAATGAGAGAGAAGTATAAGTACTTCAGGAATATTAAATCAGACCTCTTCAGGGCACAATCTAGGAAGATTTTAGGTGTTTTGATGGATGCACCAAGTTTTATATACCTCACATCCTTTTGGGGACAAAAGAATAAGAAATAGAAATATACTTTTTTTTTTAACATTTTAAAAAACTGTTACTGAAGACATCTTTGAGAAATTGATTATTTTATATAGAAAAAATTTTCTTTGTGGTGGAACTTGAACTCAGGGACTCATACAAGCTAAGCACGTGCTGTTCTACCACTGAGCAGCACCTCTACCTCACTTGATGTAGAACAGTCTTATGAAATGCACTGCCTGGTTTTATAATAAGTACATTTAGCTGGGAACGTGGCTCAAGTGGTAGAGCACCTGCCTAACAAGTGCAAAGCCCTGATTACAAATCCCAGTACTGCCAAAAAAAATTTTCTTTTTTGTTTTTGTTCTTTTGATGGTATGGTGTTTGAACTCAGGGTCTTATGCTTGCTAGGCAGACACTCTACCACTTTAGCCACTCCACCAGCCCTTTTTTGTATTGGGTATTTGCAGATAGGGTGTCTTGAACTATTTGCCCAGGCTGGCTTTGAACTGTGATCCTCCTGATCGCTGCCTCCTGAGTAGCTAGGATTACAGGCATGAGCCACTGGCGCCCTGTGAGGAAAAAAGTTTAATAAGTACATACATTTATTTATTATTTTATTCTACTTTTTTATTGTTGTGCTGGGTAGGGGTATATTGTGGCATTTATAAAATAAGTACATTTAGGTAGCTATTTCAAGTGTATTAATGTTGACAAGCTATAATATTTTAATTAAACATTGTATTGATTGACTTTTTGCTGACATAAAGGATGATACCTTAGGTTATAAGGCAGAGGAACAAAAGGGTTAATAATTGAGAATATATATACTTAATATGTTTTATATTAAGTATTTTCATTAAGTCTCATTTTAGTCTTAGATCTCTTGAAGGTTGACAAGGCAACTGTGATAAAACAACGTGTACAAAGATAACAAAAGTTGTCATTTTTAAAAGCATTTTCTATGTATGGATCAACTCTGATCTTTTCAAGTTATAAAACACCATTTTTATTTATTGATGAGGAAACTAGAGCTTGAAAAGTGAAACAACTGTCCAGTGTCAAAACAGCTAGATGACTGTCTCAGCCAGCTGTGGCCACAGTAATGCTGTGAAATTAATCGCCCAAAAATGATAGAACTTAAAGCAGAAGTATTCATCTCACTGGTGGGTCTGCAGATCACGTGTATATGCTCCACTCCATGGGTGTTTTAGCCTTCTCTTGGCAAGAAGGCCAACACAGCCTTGATGTTCTCGTGGCACTGAGAAACGTGAAGGGCAAGGCCATTGTACCTGTCCTTAGGAAGCCTCAGTCTCATCACACCCACCACTATTCCAATGGCAAAGCAAATTATACCACTAAACCCAAAGTTGGGGAGTAGTGACTTTCTACCCATATTCTAGTATCCTAAAATGTAGGTGTTTTTTGGTTTTTGGTTTTGGGGGGGTTTTTTTGTTTGCTCAGTGTTTTACAATTCAAGCTCTTTCTTTGAATGACTGTAGCTATTCAGAGGAAACTTGTAAATGTACTTATTGATATCTCTTCACCTTTGGTTTTTTAGGCCCGATTCTGGGTCCAGGTGATGAGAGATTTGCGAAATGGGGTAAAACTTAAGAAGGTCCAACAGCGGCAGTATAATCCATTGCCCATTGAATACCAGCTCACTCCCTATGAGATGCTAATGGACGACATTCGGTGCAAGAGATACACCTTACGGAAAGTGATGGTAAGAAACAAAGAATCGTATTACTGAGTCTGAGAGGACTACAGGAGGCAGGAGAGGGAAAGAGAATGTTAGAGAATGAAAACTTTTGAAACATCCCATCTATAAATGAAGATAATGTAAGGTAATGCACTGTGAGCTGTTGAATAATAGGCAGCAGAGCAAGAGTAAACAATGGGGGTAATCTGATTAAAGCACGATTTATGCATGTCCGAAATGCCAAGGTAAAACCTCCTTGGACTACCAGTATACACTTAAAAAAATGAAGGACAAGAGGGAAAAACACAGGACGTCTGAGGATGGATACCAGTGGGAGGGCATAATGAAAGGGGGAATGAGGGTGAATATGGTGGATGTGTTTTGTATTCATGTATGAAAATAGAACAGTAAAACCTGTTGAGATTGTTCTAAGAAGGGGGAAAGAGGGATGAGGGAGAAAGATGGAGAGGTGAGTCTAATTAAGATACATTGTGAGCACATGTAAATATCACGATGTATCCCCCTATACAATTATTGCGTGCTAATAATAAATAGATGCTAGAAAAAAAGAAATAAAGCTATTATTGGGCTTGAATGGTCATTCTATAATCTTACCTGTTGAAAATGGTCCTCTCAATACTGTATTTTTAAAATTATTTCTTCTCAAAAAAAGTAATACTTGATCATTGTGGAAAATATATTAAGCTCAAAGAAGGAAAGTTACGAACATGAATCCCCTCATTCTTTTTTCTGTACATTTTATTAGGACAACATAGACTGATTTTGTTTTGTAACCAGTTATTTTTGTTTAACATATTGTCAATATTTTTCCATGTCATTATGTTCAATGTTATTTCTTTTGGGGTTTTCAAAGTATCATTCTTTTATTATTATTAGCATATCTTAACTTACAAAATAATGGATTTCATTATGTCATTTTTATGTATATAATGTACTTTAACCATCTTCACCCTCTCTTGTCCCGCCTCCACTCCTACTGGTTCCCTTCCTCTTCCCAAGTAATCCTCCTTCTACTTTTATGCCTTTAAAAAAAAATCTAGATTCTGCATATTAAAGAAAACATGCACTATGCACTATTAGTCTTTCTGAATCTGGCTTTTTTCACTTAAGATTATGAGCTCTAGTTCCATCCATTTTCCTGCAAGTAGTGTAATTTTTGTTCTTCTTTATGGCTAAATGAAACTCCATTGTGTATTTATATCATACTTTGTTATTGTGAATAATGCTGCAATAAACATGGGTGTACAGGTATCTCTATTGTACGCTGACTAAGATTCCTTTGGGAATATACCCAGGAATAGCATAGCAGGATAATAAGTAGTTCTGTTCTCGGGATTTGTTTTGTTTTGTTTTGTTTTGTTTGGAAGCACTGGAGTTTGAACTTAAGGCCCCTGATGCTTGCTAGGCAGGTGCTCTACCACTCAAGCCACACCTCCTGCCCTTTTTGTTTTGGGTGTTTCTGAGATAGGGTCTCACATCTTTGCCCTGGCATCCTGGACCATTTAACTTTGATCCTCCCAATCTTCACCTCCTTATGAGCTAGGATTACTGTGAGCCACTGCGCCAGGCTCACAAAACATTTCTTTTTCTCTGTTTACATGCTTATTCTAGGAAGACATGAATAAAAGCAAAAATTCCCTGAAAAATCTTCCATTTGGCCCCTTCTCCATTCGTTCATTAACTTATGGATATGTATGTAGATAAATAGTAGATACTGTTTTTTATTCCATAAAGAATGAATGCCTGGGGGTGGGGGGGGAAGTAATGACCCTATCACTATATGCACATGTGAATGAAGGAAATAAGAAAAATGAATGTAGATAGTCTCTATTTAAAAACTGGTAGTATTTTCTTGAATCCTAATAGCAAGACCATTAAAATAAAAAGTGGGAAATGCTTTCAGCCACATGCTTGGTGGTCTCACAATCCCAGCTGTCTCTTCTTTCATTCCCATGACTTATTCCCTGAGCATCTCATTAATAGACATTCAGGTTTCTTCCAGTTTTCATTGTTGTAATCAATGTTATTAAGACAATCTTCCAAATAAAAGTAATCTTATCCAGTTATCTCCTTGGGTTAAATTTCTGCCGGTGAGATGATTAGATCAAAGCGAATACACATTTTAAGTTGTAATATATTTTCCTAATCTTCTCCCCAGAGGGTTGTACCAATTTACCCATTTAAAGATAATTGCTGTCGCCAATTAATGTCTGCTTACTAGAACTGTATCCATTCTGGTTGAGTGAGCATTCAACATGAATCTCCAGTGATTTTCTTCCTCAGTCAGAAGGATCTATTCAGAAATTCATACACATGATTAAAATGTGCTCAATAGATTGTTAATGTTTCTAGTTGATCCTTCATTAATATCTTTTACCTGTCACCCTTGATACTGCTAAATCTTTACATTTTAATCAGAGAAATAATTGTCGTAAATAATTGTTATCCTATCTGATTCTAGACAAGTGCTCTATCACCAAGCTCCATCCCCAGTTCTACCCTGTTTGTTTCTAAGGCTGGCTTTTGTCAGTGCTGACTTACCAGGCCTCAGCTGCCACGTAAACAGCTCAGTGAGGCACGGAGAAGCAGTGACGTGTGATGGAACAACAGAGGACTGTGCATCCATGTTGGAAAGCTTTTGCAAGCATAGTTATATTTTTACTATGGTAAAATAAGAATTTGGATTTTTTCTTACAATTTACTTTCTTCTAATTTTAAATTAAAATTCTTTTAACATAAAATCACCCCCTTTAAAGTGTACAGTTCACTGACAATTAGTTAATCCACCTCTATGTAGATCCTCCCAAAAGGAAACCTTGTATCCATGAAGCATCACTCTACTCCCTACTTCTCAGCTCCTGGCTACCATTAATGTGTTTTCCAACTTTACAGACTTCCCTATTCTGGATATTTCATGTAAATGAAATCATACCATATGTGACCTTTGTATGTAGCTTCTTTCACGTTTTTGCACTTGATCTACATACTAGATGTAGAAGTACTTCGTTCCTTTTTATGGTCGAATAATATTCTACAGTGTGGACATACTATGCCTTATTCATCACTTGATGCCATTTGGAGCCTTCGTGCCTTTCACTGTTGCAAACGGTGTTGCTGTGAACAGGCATGCATGCTGCTTATTAGGATACGTGTTTTCAGTTCTTTTGGGTGTATACCCAGGAGGGGACTGTATGAACCACATGATGTTCTGTGACTTACTGAAGAATTGCCAAATGCTTTCCCACACCCTTACACCATTTGACATTCCCCCAGCAATGTACCAGTGTTCCAAAACCCTCACTCGTCAACACTTGATAGCATTCGTTTCTGCTTTTAGTTATAACTGCTGTCCTGGGTGTGATGTGCGTCCTCACTGTGGTTTTGATCTGCACTTCCCTGATGACTGATGGTGTGATGCGTGTTCCTTGTGCTTGTGGGCCATTCGTGTGTCTTCTCTGGAGAAATGTCTGTTCAGATCCTGTGCCCAGTTTTCACCGGGTGCTTTGTGTTTTTGTTGTGTAGGCACATTCTAGGTACTGGACCCTTGACAGACACATGGTTTGCAATATTTTCTCCTATACATTGTCATCCTTTTCCTCTTTTTTGATAGTGTCAAAAGATGATGCTCAGAAGGTTTTTATTTTGCCATAGTTCAGTTCATCTAACTTTCCTTCTGTTGCCTGTGCTTTTAGTGTATGCATAAAAATCCATTGCCAATTCCAGGGCATGAAGATTTATCCGTGTTCTCTTATATGCTTTGTTTTTTCAGTTTTACCTCCATTATTTATGTCTTTGCTCCCTTTGCATTAATTTGTGTACTGCATATGGTGTGAGGCGAGGGTCACACATCTTGCATGTTGATACCCACTTGTCCCAGGTCTGCTCATTAAAGTGACTCAGTCATTTCCCGTTCAGTACTGTTGGCAAACTTGACATTCATCAACTGAACATAGAAGTATGAATTCATTTCTGGACTCTGAATTGTATTTTTTTAAAAATCTTTATGCTTGTGGAGTTTTATGAGTTTCGAAGGATTCGAGTTCCTACTTTGTTTTATTGACCATACTCAGGTTTGAAATCAGGGTCTTATCCTTGCTACACAAGTGCCCTACTACTTGAGGCACACCCCAGCCATTTTTGCTTTCATTTATTTTTCAAATAGGCTATCGCACTCTTTGCCCAAAGCTGGTCTCAGACCATGATTCTTCTACCACTCCACCTTTCAAGTGGCTGGGATTATAGATATGTACCACCATACTCAGCCTTGATTTTTTTTTTTTAAAATGTTTGGGTAAAATTCACCACCAAAGCCATATGGTCCTGGTTTTCTTGGTGGTCTTTGTTGTTGTTGGGGGTTAGGGGCTTGATTACTGATTCAGTCTCTAAAGAGACTGAATTGGTCTTTACAAATTCATGCCCTCCCACCCATCCTTCCTTGAGTCAGTTTTGGTAGTTTGTGTTTTTCTAGGAATTTGTTCATTTTATCTAGATCATCTAACTTGTGGGCATACAATTACCATGACATTCTCTTATAACCCTTTGTAGTCTGTACAGTCTGTAGTGATGTCCTATTCCTTTTCTGATTTTTTTATTGTGAATCCTGTCTTTTTCTTGTTTACTTTAGGTAAATGTTTGTCATTTTATTGATCTTGTCAATAAAATAACTTTTGGTTTTGTTAATTATTTCCATTGCTCTTCCGTTTTGTAATTTGTTTCTCTCCTTTCTAATGTTTATCATTTCCATTATTCTATAAGCTATAGGTTTAGTTTCTTGGTTTTTTTCTTTACACCTTAGGCATAGTGTCAGGTTATTGATCTGAAATTCTTTTAGCTGTTAACCCCCATGAGCTCCCATCTGAACACTGCTCTTGCTGCGTCTTGTAAGTTTTCATATGCTTCATTTTCATTTATCTCAAAGTATTTTATTATCATTTCACTCAGAATTTCTTATTTGACCCATTGGTGCTTAGGAGTGTGCTTTAAAATTCCACATAGCTAGGTATATTGGCTCATGCCTGTAATCCCAGCTACTCAGGCAGTGGAGATAGGCAGGATCAAGGTTCAAGGCCAGGCTGGGCAGAAAGTTAGACCCCATCTCAAGCTGGGTATGGTGGCACATGCCTGTCATCCCAGCTATATGGGAGGCATAGGTAGGAAGATCTTGGTTGGAGATCAGTTCTGGGCTAAAAGGTAAGAGCCTATCAGAAAAATAACTGAAGCAAAACGGCTGGGGATGTAACATAAGTGGCAGAATGACTGCTTAACAAGTGCAAGGCCCTGAGGTCAAACTCCAATAGAAAAAGAAAATTGAGTCTTGAATTCTTTGACAGTTGTAGAACTGTCACTTCTACTTTCAGTGTTTGCTTCATATATTTTGGAGATGTGTAGTTTGGTGCATATATACTTATAATTGTTAAATTTTGTATATTATAGTGTCTATCTTTGTCTTTTATGATGCCTATTTTCTGAAAATCTATTTTAACTGATACCAACATTGTTTTAACTTGAAGGTTGTAGGTAGGAAGTAAAGAAAAAATGCATTTTTTTCTTCAAACAGATGTTGTTCTTTTCCTCCCTTTGTGTGTCTGAGTGACACAGTGCAGCTCTCTTGGATAGCTGTACAGAGGTCTGGGCACAGGACTGCTTCATCTCAGGAAAGTTTTCTACTTTTAGTCTACTAGAAGCTGGGGGCACAGCTCAAGTGGTGGCACACCTGCCTAGCCTGCTAGACTAAGCCTTTGTTGTTAGTTCATGTACTTGTACAGCTACTGCACATTTAATCATTCAGAAATTGGGCATTTTAGATTTGCGCTTATCAACATAACTCCACTTACTAATTTCTTTAAAAACAAATATTTTTATAAGCAGTGAATGCAAGCCACTTTAATACATGCTCTATTTATACCTGAATTACTGTGCTAGGTGTTTTTAATACTGAAGTATAAGCTATGTAGCTGTTTTCTGCATATTTGTGGTATTTAAACATGTATTTATTAAAATTACACAACTTTGAGGAGGGTACTACTGGAGTTTGGAGTGAGGGCCTCATGCTTACTAGGCAGGTGCTCTGTCACTTGAGTACATCCCCAACTCTTTGCTTTTTTCTCACATAAGGTCTTGTGTTTTTGTTCAGGCTGGCCTCAAACCACAGTACTCCCACCTACAGCCTTCTGTAAAGGTGGGCTCACAAGTGCATGCCTAGTTTATTGATTGAGATGGAATCTCACTAATTTTTCCCAGGCTGACCTAGAACCATGATCCTCTCAGTTTCTGCCTCCTGAGTAGCAGGATTACAGGCATGAGCCCTACCTTGCCCAGCTAAAATACACGAATTTTTAATTCACATAAAACATTTGAAGGAAAATTATGTTAATCATGCAATCACTTTTTAGATAATAATGCATATATTTTAGTATGAGAAGTGGTTTCTTTTTAGCCTTTATATGTTAGCAGATACGTTAGTAAGATTTTGTTTATATATTTAACTTCAAATTTAGCTGCCTAAAAAACTTATTTCAGAAACAAGACAGAATTTAAGGTAGTTTTAGTATGTTTAAAGGGAATCAGCTTTTATATTAGTTTTTTGTTTTAAGCCATTGTGGCTCAAAAATAAGATCAAGTTCTATAACTGATCTTATTTACTTCTGAGGCTGCTGTTTGTGTCCATTCAAGAATCATTCTCATTTCAGTCCACTTGCTTGCTTCAGGAAATGTTCTATATGTGTATGAAAAATAATTCCATGGGTTTAGCAGCAGAGTGGTGTTCACACAATTTTGCTTACCTCTCTTCTACCTGCCTGCTGTCTCCAGCATCAGTACTGACCACCTTCACAGCTGGCCACTAAAGAAACTCAAATGATGTGCTTGTTTGGGGAATGGAATTTGCAGTCCTGGCCTCATTAATCCTTTCTCCTACTTCTGCTGTTGTGATGGAAAGAACCTTAATGTAAAAGCTAAAATACTTAGCTAGGAGATATGTATTATTCTGTTCAATTGTAGAAGTATAAATAATAGATTAAACTGTTTTGAATGAAAAGATTTTTAATTTTACACAGCATGAAGTCCACAGGTAGGGGCTGTGCCACTTCAGCCTGTGGCTCTGACACTAGGTCCTATTGATACCCACCCTAAACTAGGCACTGGTGATCCTGTATGAGGTTTGACTTAAGTCACAGTTACTCCTGATGCCTGCCACAGGCCATCTTGCCCTCATTTAGGCTGGGAGATGGGTGTGGAATGGAGGGGGCACGACAGAGAAGTAGAGCAGGTGGGTGTTGGGTAGCAGCAGGCTGGGGAGGGGGATGACACAGGACCCCAGGCCTGGGAGTAGCAGTTCAGCCACTGCATTGTTCAAACAAGACTAGAAAGCAAAAACCAAAATGGTCACAGCTGTGCCTTCTGAGGGGTCAGAATGTGAATTTAGGTTGCTATATTTTTGTACCTTTCTAGGAATTTTTTACTATTTCTAAAAAAAATTTAACATACTACATTAAAAAGAGAAGACAGTGGGATAGAAGTCACAGGCAGGCTGGGAATCCACCACAAGTTTTTTTTGCTTGCTAGGTCTGTGAATATAAGCAAATAACCTCTTTTCTCCAAGCTCACGTTTAATTTACAGAATGTGAATGGTGTTACCAGGCCTTCCTATTACCTACATTTTCTACAAGAATGAAAACAAGAGGCAAAGGCTTTTTAAATTTTAAGATACTTAATAAGCACAAGTATTACTTATGCCATTAACATTCCTAATGTCAGAAACTTTTTGTTAGAGGAGTGTATCTCATATAATTTCCCAAAATGTTAGAATTAAAGTGAATGTGGTTGTTCTTTACTTTTTCTCTGCATCACAGTCATTTATTCTCTACTGTATTGATTTGAAATGTGTCTTTGGTTGAGCCAGATTACATTTCACTGATTTTGTGACATATTTAGGGTAATAGCTATACTGTGAAGGTCATGTGACCTGTAGTCACATGCATTTTCTTTCTTTCTTTTTTTTTTTTTCTTTGTCTCCTTTTAGGTGAATGGTGACATTCCCCCTCGGTTAAAAAAGAGTGCTCATGAAATCATCCTTGACTTCATCAGATCAAGACCTCCTTTAAATCCAGTATGTAACCTGACGCTCCTCTTTGCTGGGATAGCATGATGAATTACTCTCCTATAGGCACTCACCTCTAGAACACAGCTCTTTTAAATGATATTTTTCCCAGTGGCTTTTTTTCTGAGAATGATATGATGAGGCCCACCTGTAAGTTACTTTTTTTTGTTTTGTTTTCATTTTTTGCGTGTTTTTTGAGATAGGCTGACCTCAACACACCATCCTCCTGCTTCAGCCTCCTGAGTGCTGGGATCCTATAGGCATGTGCCACCAGGCCCAGCTGAAAGTTACATTCTTAAGTCACAAAAAAATAACTTTAAATTATTCAATACAAGGCTGTCTTAGGTTGTTTTTCTCAGGACAGCCTGAATGATTGTGCAAAGTCTGACTGAATAAATGCCTCCTATAATAACAACTACCTATAATCCCAGACAGTTTCAGCTGTAAGTTGCCCTTCCAACTTACTTTGTAATGCCAATACCCCTCCTTGGTTACACTGGCATATTGACATTATTTACAGTAAAACCTGCTGAGGTTATCTTCCTCTGTTAAAAAGGTTCTTTCTAGTGACCACTTAGTCAGAATACGCTAATGTGGGAATGTTAATTTGTGTATCTGTTTTACTTCTCTTCCCTCTGATTGGATAGTCAGTGTTCAAAGTCTTCCTTGCAAAGTTGCAAGGAAGGAAATGGTATTTCCCAGTACATCTACAGCTAATTAAAGATCCTTTTACAGGTCTGTTTGGAGGAAGGGCACAAGACCAGCTAGGAGACCATTTAGGAAGGGAGGGCTTGAGTAGAGAGTAAGGCTCATACAAACCTAGATCTACACAGTAGCCCCATGGCCTAGCAGCCACTCATCTCTGAGCAGTTTAATCAGCCACCCTGAGCCTTTATTTCCTCAGCCATACAATGTAGAAAGTAGAATCCTAAGATGCATGTGGTAAATTACTCAAAAATGCTGGTTTCAAAAGCAGTGACATAGACAGGACACAATTATAACTTTAGCAAAACTGCTTCAGATTATTAAGTACATATATGATTAAATAATTCTGAAACACCTATTGCTTTAGAAATCTCGATATGTAATGACTTGAAAATAGTCTTTTATAGGGCACTGTTACAGTCAATGAAATATATTTTATAATACTGTACTATATGAATGGATTTTAGTAAAAACTATTTAAGGACAAAAAAAGTTTCTCAACATTCTGCTCTTTTTTTCAAGGTCTCAGCCAGAAAACTGAAGCCAACCCCACCACGGCCACGGAGCCTCCATGAAAGAATATTAGAGGAGATTAAAGCAGAAAGAAAGCTGCGGCCTGTCTCCCCAGAGGAAATCAGACGGAGCAGATTAGGTGAGCCCTCTGCTTCCTGTGCTCACTGTGCCACTGGGGCATTCTGACCCAGCTGTGAAATTGGAGTGCAGGGAAAAGTGAGCCATGGAGTTCTCCTTCCTTGTTTATCTGTCTCTGTGTTTCTGTCTACCCTCTCCATGCACACACTCTCTCTTCTCTCTCTCTCTCTCTCTCTCTCTCTCTCTCTCACTTGAAGTTTATATTTGAAGTCAGGAATTTCCCTGTGTGATGTTGAACTCCCTGGGAGCATCATGGTGTAGTACAAAGAGCTCTGCCAATCTCTAGACTAGGGTTTGAAGAGAGTCTCTTTACCTCTCTCAGCATGATTTTCTTCATCAACAGAAAGGGAATAAAAATTCTTCTTATCTATATTATGGTGCTTATAGAAGAACTAAATAGGATTGTGGTTTAAAAAAAACACTTTATAAACTGACACACGTACAAATGTAGATGGTAGACATACAGATTTACTTCATATTTCTGTCATCTTAGTTATGGGTATTCTGTGATGAAGACACCCTTTGTTATCTGATAACACTTAACTTACTCCCAAACATCCTTTGAATTAATTTTTTTTAATAGTAAGTATTTTTAACGTGTACTCTAAGCACACCTTCATTTTGATTTATAACAAGAGCGTAGTGTATTTGTAGACATTTTGTTTCTACAGCTCTCCTCCAGTTTGTAAGAGGAAAGATCCTCAAAGGATTCTGAGAAACTTCCTGGAAAATAGATTTTAGTGGTACCTAAACAAGAAGGGAACTGGCTCTGTGATACCACATTCTCCTGGTTTTCTCCTTTCATCTCTTTTACTGCAGCCACACCTCTCCCAGGGTTTTTGTTTTTGGATGCCTTCTACCTCCCAGTTTACAGCATGGAAATCTCTGAATACACAGACCCATGTATTCAGTTGTCTGCTAGATAGGACCTCCTTATAGCTTACAAACAGGACAAGCAACATGCCCACAAGTGAGGTTTGCTTGTCCCCAAGTTACCCCATCCTGTTTCCCTATCACCTTCAACTCCTGTCTGATGGCCAAGTCCAGTTGGATTTACTTTCTCTGTATCTTTCTAGTCTTCCACTCTTCTAGCCCAACAGCCACTGTCCTAGCCAAAGCTGTGTCTTTCGCATCAGCCTGTTGACTGTGCTTTCTGATTCCAGTCTGAAACTCTTCAGCCACTCCACACTGTGTGCCTTTTTTAATCCCAGGCATCCTGGTAGAGTGTGACCTCCATGATGACAGGGCCATGTCTGTCTTGTTTGTGTTGTATCCCTGGCATAGGACTGATCTGGAAAAGTACTTCCAGATATATTAAAATAATTAACTGGACTTTCTGGTTCCAAGTCTAGAGTGAGTAAAGGTTGTATCAATTTATCCTTCTCTAGTTTTTATGGCAACAATTTTTTTCTCTTATAAATATTTAAAGCATGCCAAGTGACAAATCCATAGGATCATTTATATAATTTTGGACAAAACATTTAAGCCAACATTTAAGAAAACCAACCATTCTTTTCCTGGGAGTCCTTGAGTGGGCCTGAGGAAAGTCTATGAATCCCTGAAATATAAAAGATGCACAAAAAGTGATTTCAAAAAATGTATATGTGAATGCTTTTCTGGAGACTGAATCCTCAGCTTTCCTTAAATTCCTAATGGGTCCCTAATCTCAGGAGATTGAGAACCACTATGGGAACATTAGGAGATGGTACCGTAAAATGGTAGCTTTGAACTACATTTTAAAAAGAAAATTACTACACCTTTGGAAAGAATAATGAGATTCACAGAAAAGATTTCAACAAGACTATGAGGTATAACAAGCTTTTTTCTTGAGAAAAGTCAGCTTCACGGTTTGTAGGAGTGAAGCTAGTTAGCTCAGGGTTGGAAACTTCAGTGGGAGCCCCAGGAGGATATAAAAGGCATAGTGTATTTGTGTGATCTGGACTGGTATCTGGTAGCTAATCCTTAACTTCTCCAGCAGTTTCTTGAATATTTACTCTTTTCAACCACTGCTCCAGCAACTGGAGATACACAGATGAATAAGGCATAGCCCCACTCACAGAGTACTTCCAGACTCTCTAGTACCATGCATGTTCACATTGCAAGAAATGTACACAAACATTCATGACAGCAAAGCTGCATGGCTGCAAGTGAGGCATTTAAGGAAGGGACTAGCAATGCTTTCAGGCAGTCAAGAAGATACTCCTCCATTGCACCTGAAGGCTATAGCAAATCTTGTTTTTGTTTTGTTTTGTTTTTTGTTTTATTTAAGACATGGCCTCAACTATGTAGCTCAGGCTGCCCCTGAACTTGCAGTTATCCTTCCTCAGCCTCCAAAGATTACAGCTGAGGTGTGTACCACCACACCTGGATGTTGTGTGTGTGTGTGTTGTGTGTGTGTGTGTGTGTGTGTTAAGATTTTTAAAGGCGATCTAACCTTTTACCAAACTGTTAAGTGTGCAGTACACAATTGCTGACTAGGTACAATTTTGTACAGCGATATCTAGAGCTTATTCATCGTTTCTAACTCTTACCCCTACCCCTTGGCAACCCCCATTCGATGGTTTTATTCTATGAATTTGACTGGCTCAGATACCTTGCATTAGTGAGTTCATGCTATTTGTCTTTCTGGGACTGGCTCAGTTCACTTAGCATAGTGTCCTGAAGGTTCACGCATGTTCTCACACCCATGCTCTCACCCTGAATAGTGCTGTTGTTTCTTTACCCCCGCATCTTTACATGGACATTTAGCTTGTTTCTGCATCTTGAATATGGTGAGTAGTGCTGCATTGAACATAGGAGGGCTAGCATCACTTCAAGACCCTCATTTTTTTTTCTTTTATTATTCATATGTGCATACAAGGCTTGGGTCATTGCTCCCCCCCTGCCCCCACCCCCTCCCTTGCCACCCACTCCACCCCCTCCCTCTCCCCCCACCCCTCAATACCCAGCAGAAACTATTTTGCCCTTATCTCTAATTTTGTTGTAGAGAGAGTATAAGCAATAATAGGAAGGAACAAGGGTTTTTGCTGGTTGAGATAAGGATAGCTATACAGGGAGTTGACTCACATTGATTTCCTGTGCATGTGTGTTACCTTCTAGGTTAATTCTTTTTGATCTAACCTTTTCTCTAGTTCCTGGTCCCCTTTTCCTATTGGCCTCAGTTGCTTTTAAGGTATCTGCTTTAGTTTCTCTGCGTTAAGGGCAACAAATGCTAGCTATTTTTTAGGTGTCTTACCTATCCTCACCCCTCCCTTGTGTGCTCTCGCTTTTATCATGTGCTCAAAGTCCAATCCCCTTGTTGTGTTTGCCCTTGATCTAATGTCCACATATGAGGGAGAACATACGATTTTTGGTCTTTTGGGCCAGGCTAACCTCACTCAGAATGATGTTCTCCAATTCCATCCATTTACCAGCGAATGATAACATTTCGTTCTTCTTCATGGCTGCATAAAATTCCATTGTGTATAGATACCACATTTTCTTAATCCATTCGTCAGTGGTGGGGCATCTTGGCTGTTTCCATAACTTGGCTATTGTGAATAGTGCCGCAATAAACATGGGTGTGCAGGTGCCTCTGGAGTAACCTGTGTCACAGTCTTTTGGGTATATCCCCAAGAGTGGTATTGCTGGATCAAATGGTAGATCAATGTTAGCTTTTTAAGTAGCCTCCAAATTTTTTTCCAGAGTGGTTGTACTAGTTTACATTCCCACCAACAGTGTAAGAGGGTTCCTTTTTCCCCGCATCCTCGCCAACACCTGTTGTTGGTGGTGTTGCTGATGATGGCTATTCTAACAGGGGTGAGGTGGAATCTTAGTGTGGTTTTAATTTGCATTTCCTTTATTGCTAGAGATGGTGAGCATTTTTTCATGTGTTTTTTGGCCATTTGAATTTCTTCTTTTGAGAAAGTTCTGTTTAGTTCACTTGCCCATTTCTTTATTGGTTCATTAGTTTTGGGAGAATTTAGTTTTTTAAGTTCCTATATATTCTGGTTATCAGTCCTTTGTCTGATGTGTAGCTGGCAAATATTTTCTCCCACTCTGTGGGTGTTCTCTTCAGTTTAGAGACCATTTCTTTTGATGAACAGAAGCTTTTTAGTTTTATGAGGTCCCATTTATCTATGCTATCTCTTAGTTGCTGTGCTGGGGTTTCATTGAGAAAGTTCTTACCTATACCTACTAACTCCAGAGTATTTCCTACTCTTTCTGTATCAACTTAGAGTTTGGGTCTGATATTAAGATCCTTGATCCATTTTGAGTTAATCTTGGTATAGGGTGATATACATGGATCTAGTTTCAGTTTTTTGCAGACTGCTCCTCGCAACAACTGTTGGTGGTGGTGTTGCTGATATGGCTTAATGCTAACAGGGTGAGGTGGAATTTAGTGTGTTTTTAATTTGCATTTCCTTTATTGCTAGAGATGGTGAGCATTTTTCATGTGTTTTTTGGGCATTTGAATTTCTTCTTTTGAGAAAGTTCTGTTTAGTTCACATGCCCATTTCTTTATTGGTTCTAGTTTGGAGAAGTTTAGTTTTTTTCAGTTCCCTATATATTCTGGTTATCAGTTTCCTTGATGTATAGTTGGCAACTATTTTCCACTCTGTGGTGTCTCTTCAGTTTAGAGACCATTTCTTTATGAACGAAGCTTTAGCTTTTGAGGTCCCATTATCATGCTATCTTCTTAGTTGCTGTGCTGCTGGGGTTTCGTTGAGAAAGTTCTTACCTATACTACTAACTCCAGAGTATTTCCTACTCTTTCCTGTATCAACTTAAGAGTTTGGGGTCTGATATTAAGATCCTTGATCCATTTTGAGTTAATCTTGGTAGTGATATACATGGATCTAGTTTCAGTTTTTTGCAGACGCTAACCAGTTCCAGCAGTTTTGTTGAAGAGGCTGCTATTTCTCCATCTATATTTTTAGCTCCTTTGTCAAAGACAAGTTGCTTATAGTTGTGTGGCTTCATATCTGGATCCTCTATTCTGTTTCCACTGGTCCTTCATGT